TGTGCGGCAGGATCAGCTGATTGCTGCTTTATCTGCTACTCAGGGAAGCTGATGTCACAACAGACACGTTAGAGAGGAAGACGCTCGGTCACACACAGATGGCAGTGAGTTCATGACTCTGGCTGCAAGTCAATCATGTCAATCAGGTCACCTTTGTTAACAGATTTACAAAGCAGCTTCACAGTTATAAAGAGGAAAGTGACAGTATCAATAATGCAAATGTCATCAAATGTTAGTCTAAATTCTGTTCTGCAAAGAAAACAGTGGCAGTTCAGTGTTCAGTTCAATAACCAAGTTAATTAGTTAAGGAATGAGCTCATCAAGCAGCTCTATACAGAAGACAATGATGTCATTATTAAGCTGAAGATAATGCAGTGTTCATTCAGGTCAGTTCTGATGCCACTTTATATGGGTAATACTTTTACTTAAGAATATAAAAGCATTTAACAACCTGTATGAAATTTATTTAGTTTTATTATCTGTAGATTCCAGTATAACTTGCATGCATTGTTGTGGCAGGATAAAAAAAGAGTTTTCACAAGTCACAAAGACATGTTTAATCGAAACACAAAATGACAAATCTAGTTGGTTCTATGACCGTATCCTTAATAAACAATGAGACACAAGTTTTATTCATAAATTAAGAAGAGATGTTTCCCTTTTTACCTTCCCTACAACTCCCCTAGCCTCATGCAAATACCTGTGCCAGTATTTAAGAAACATCACAGAAATTATACATCCAAAACTAAAACAATAAATATTGACATACACTCACTGGCCACTTTATTAGGTACACCTGTCCTACTGCTTGTTTATACAAGTTTCTAATCAGCCAATCACATGGCAGCAAGTCAGTGCATTTAGGGATGCAGACATGGTCAAGATGATCTTCTGCAGTTCAAACCGAGCATCAGAATGAGGAAGAAAGGTTATTTAAGTGACTTTAAATGTGGCATCATTGTTGGTGCCAGACGGGCTGGTCTAAGTATTTCAGAAACTTTTGATATACTGGGATTTTAATGCACAACCATCGCTAGAATGTAAAAAAAAGAGAAAATATCCAGTGAGCGGCAGTTCTGTGGGTGCAAATACCTTGATGCCAGAGGTCAGAGGAGAATGACCAGACTGGTTCCAGCTGATAGAAAGGCAACAGTAACTCAAATAACCACTCGTTACAACCGAGGTATGCAGAATGCATCCAATCTTGAATTGGAAGGGCTACAACAGCAGAAGACCACACTGGGTGCCACTCCTGTCAGCTAAAAGCAGGAAACCGAGGCTATAATTTGCACAGGCTCACCAAAGTTGGACAATAGAATATTGAAAAACGTTGCCTGGTCTGATGACTCTCAATTTTTGCTGCGACATTCGGATGATAGAGTCAGAATTTGGCATCAACACCGTTAAAGCATAGATCCATCCTGTCTTGTATCAGTGGTTCAGGCTGGTGGTGGTGGTGTAACGGTGTGGGGGATATTTTCTTGGCACACTTTGGGCCTATTAGTACCAACTGAGCATCCTGTCAATGCCACAGCGTACCAGAGTATGTCCATCCCTTTATGAAAACAGTGTACCCATCTTCTTATGGCTACTTCCTGCAGGATAACACGCCATGTCAGAAAGTGAGAATCATCCCAGACTGGTTTCTTGAATGTGACAATGAGTTCACAGTACTCAAATGGCCTCCACAGTCACCAGAGCTGAATCCAATAAAGCACCTTTGGGATCTGGTGGATAGGGAGATTCACATTATGGATGTGCAGCCGACAAATCTGCAGCAACTGTGTGATACTATCATGCCAATATACAACAAAATCACTGAGGAATATTTCCAGTATCTTGTTGAATCTATGCCTCGAAGCATTAAGGCAGTTCTGAAGGCAAAAGTGGGTCCAACCTGGTACTAGTAAGGTGTACCTAATAAAGTGGCCAATGAGTGTAAGTCAAGGAATAGTGGAAAATTGGCTTTACTGTATTACAATATGACAAAGAATAATTTTCTGCATTTATTTATTTTTAAAGGAATTTTAAAGCGCTTTCCACGTCAGTATTTTTTGCAGCTGCACTGATCTGAGAAAACTGGAACACTTTCTGACAAATGGTTGTGATTAAGTTATTACTGGTCACAGTAATGTGGGCTTCGGCAAAGGCTGTTCAATATGCACAGGAAAGTCATATATTTAAACCACATTTTGTTCGGAATTATCGAATTATGTTATATACAGTTGAAGTCAGTATTATTAGCCCCCTGAATTATTAGTCCCCCGTTTATTTTTTCCCCAATTTCTGTTTAACAGAGAGACGATTTTTCATGACATTTCTAAACATAATAGTTTTAATTACTCATCTCTAATCACTGATTTATTTTATCTTTACCATGATGACAGTAAATAATATTTTACTAGATGTTTTACAAGACACTTCTAAACAGCTTAAAGTGACATTTAAAGGCTTAACTAGGTTAATTAGGTTAACTAGGCAGGTTAGGGTAATTAGGCAAGTTATTGTATCACGATGGTTTGTTCTGTAGACGGTTGAGAAAAAATTGCTTAAAGGGGCTAATAATATTGTCCTTAAAATGGTTTTTAAAAAAATTAAAAATTGCTTTTATTCTAGACAAAATAAAACAAATAAGACTTTCCCCAGAAGAAAAAAATATTATCAAACATACTGTGAAAGATTCCTTGCTCTGTTCAACATCACTTGGGAAATATTAAAAAAAGAAAAAGAAATTCAAAGGGGCCGAATAATTCTAGCTTCAACTGTATATAAGAAAACTAATGGACATGAAACATTAGGCAGATTCCTCTAATAACTATGATATGAATTCCACAATATGTTGATATCAGAGGGAGTATTTAAATCCAGTATTATTAAAGTGGGATTATATTATGAAAATGCATTATGCAATATGCACTATTATGTTTTGTAATAAATAATATATTTTCTTGCACTGTTGTGTTCTGTGGCCAGTGATCTTTGTTGTTGAAAATCATCTCATTTGTCTGGTAAACCAAAGGGAAACGTTGTGTTTTGATGTTATCATTAATATAACATCATAGTTGGTCTCCAGAAACACTGGATTAGCATGGTAGTAGCGCTTCACGCTCAAACACTGTCATGTTTCTCTTCTTAGGGTTTGTTTTTGACAGTAAGCTAAGAAGACTGGTAGAGAGTACTGGAGCGTAACACACACACATACACACACGCTTACACAATCTTTCTCTCTCACGCGCACATTCAGCTGGGTAATGCAAAGTCTTGCTGAGGTGCGCAGTCAGAGTTTAACAGCTTCACTGAGAGCTAAATTTAACAGTGTGTGTAGTCTGTCACGCCATACGATAGTGCCTTTAAACTCCACTGTAGATAATGTTGTTTAACACTGTGTGTGTGTGTGTGTGTGTGTGTGTGTGTATGTATATATATATATATATATATATATATATATATATATATATATATATATATATATATATATATATATATATATATATACACACACAAGTGTCTAGCTTTTAGAGCCAAAATGCTAAATTTGTCCATCACTATTTACTCATCCTTAACTACTCACAACTCCTGTTCATGTTGATGTTGACAGAACACTTTTCTATTGTTATTCAGTGTAAACTCACTAGTTGGACGTGCATAAGGATTCATGAGTAGTTCAGAAAAAAAAAAAAAAAAAAATCAACATGACGGCAGATTGACGTTGTACCCCAACGTTCAGGTTGACATTAGAATCAGAAATCAGGTTGACATTAGAACTCAACGTCAGGCCGACATCAACGTCCAAACTAAAATCAATCAAGTATCAACGTCTGATAATGTTACAGCTTGACGTTGTGTGGACGTTACCACTATGATGTCTATCAGATGTTGGATTTTGGTTGCCATACTTGACGAATAAATGTAAGTATTTGTCGTCATTATGACGTTGGTTAGAGGTTTCAACGTAATTTGACGTCATTATTGAACATAAAAATAATGTTGTCCTTAGACGCAGGCTAGACATTGAATGACATTGAATTTTGGTTACCTGACATCTCATTCTTAATCAAACCAAACCTAATATTAATGTCTTATGACGTTGTGTGCCTGCTGGGCAATAACTAAATGCACTACAGAATGTTACGTTTACACACATCCACAAATTACATGTAAATGCATCAACTTTTCACAGAGTTATGTCATCATTCACTACTCTTGAGTACTTTAGAATGGTCTAGTTTTTACTCATACTTTGAGTAATATTTAAAACAAGTACTTTTACTCTACTTGCACTACATTTTTAGGCAAGTAATGGTACTTTTACTTAAGTATGACTTTTCAGTACTTTTTCCACCACTGGTCATTATACAACTTTGTGTCCCTGTATCCACATAAACCTTTGTTAATTTATTCAGAAATCCCCAAAAAATGTCACAGTAACAACATGACTACAGGTAACAGTGTTTTAAATATGAGATCAGAAAACTGATCGGCGAGAAAATGAGGCGACATGGTGGCTCAGTGGTTAGCACAGTTGCCTCACAGCAAGAAGGTCGCTGGTTTGAGTCCCGGCTGGACCAGTTGGCATTTCTGTGTGGAGTTTGCATGTTCTCCCTCTGTTCACGTGGGTTTCCTCCGCGTGCTCCGGTTTCCACTATATATATTATACATGATGATATAAAAGGTTTTTACTTTTGTACAATACCAACGTTGTACAAAATCAAGTCCGTAATATGTTTTCCAAAATGTAACCTAAAGTTAATTCTATTGTCAAACTTATTATGTAAAATGTTTAATCTAATATATAACATTGCTGTAATTTTGTTGTGTAATCGTTATTCAGTAAAGAACTATAACTTGTACGTAATCTACCAGCAGTGAATGTATTGTAGCTCTCTGCAGAGAGGGTGGATTTGGGGTAAAGGCTTGAGCTGACCATGTGATAAACTTGCTTTTCACTCAGAAACTCTCTCTCTCTCTCTCTCTCTCTCACTTTTTTTCTTTCTCTCTAGTTGGCTTCAGACAACTTTAATACGTGGACAAACACTCAAGAAAACAAAAATGCCAGTGGCATCTGCCAGCTCTGACTCAGGTAAGATGCTTTATTTTAACGATTTACTGAACACAAGGTCTGTTACCAATCTGAAAACCTTGTTAGTCCACAAAAGCATTTTGTTAAAATAATGAGGAGAAAGTCAGTGACAGTAACAAGCCAGTCAGCCTTTTTTTTTTTTTTTTGGCTGAAACCTCACAATAAACCAGGATTAAATGTTTGAGCTTCGCTGAGTCTCCACACATCCGCCAAGCTTCAAGCTTTAGCTTTCATCTGAGAGACACTCGAGTCAATATCATTGCGTTTCTTTGGACAGCTTCACAGAAGGAAATCAATGCATTGTTCTGTTATGATGTTCTCTTGCTGGAGAAAAACAGAGAGATGATCACTGTCCTCCTGTACAGAAACTATTCTGAGAACAGGGGAGTTGCTGTGGAGAATGGATGATGAAAAATCGTGGTGAAGAGACTGGTATCTGAAGATAATGTTTAGAGCTTACATCACTTACTGTTTTTTAAAGACAGTGTAGAAGCAGTTGATGAAAAATGAATGAAAAAATTTGAATTAAACAATTTAATACAGTGCCTGAAAATGGAAATACATCTGTGAACTAAATATTACAGGAGACATCATCAGATGAGTGCTGATCCCTATTAATATTCATCAGCTTAGATTTTTTACAGTGCAACTGTACATACAGTGCATCCGGAAAGTATTCATATCGCTTCAGTTTTTCCACAATTTTTTTATGTTACAGCCTTATTCCAAAATGGATTAAATTAATGTATTTCCTTAAAATTCTACACACAATACCCCATAATGACAATGTGAAAAAGATTTTTTGAAATTGTTGCAAATTTCTTACAAATAAAAAAGGAATTGCCTGTAGACCTCCGAGACAGCATTGTCTCGAGGCACAAGGCTGGGAAAGGCTTCTGCTGCTCTGAAAGTTCCAATAAGCACAGTGGCCTCCATCATTCGAAAATGGAAGATGTCTGTAACCAAAAGGACTCTTCCTTCCTAGAGCTGCCCAGCCATCTAAGCTGAGTGATCGGGGGAGAAAGGCCTTAGATCAATAACCCGATAGTTACTCTGTCTGAGCTCCAACATTCTTCTGTGGAGAGAGGAGAACCTTTCAGAAGGACAACCATCTGTGCAGCAATCCCCCAATCAGGCCTGTATGGAAGAGTGGCCAGACGGTAGCCACTCCCCACCTGAAATTTGCCAAAAAGCATCTAAAGGACTCTCATACTATAACAGCAGGAACTGGAAGACTAGTCAAGATAGAGGGAAAGATGAATGCAGCAATGTACAGAGACATCCTGAAGGAAAAACTGCTTCAGAGTGCTCTTGACCTCAGACTGGGGCAATGGTTTATCTTCCAGCAGGACAATGACCCAAAGCACAACGCCAAAATATTAATGGAGTGGCCTCACAACAACTCTGTAAATGTCCTTGAGTGGCCCAGCAAGAGCCCAGACCTAAATCCTATTAAACATCTCTGGAGAGATCTGAAAATGGCTATTTTCTCAAAAGTATTGAACAAAGGCTTTGAATACCTATGTACATGTGATTTTTCAGCTTTTTTGTGTGTAAATTTGCAAAAATTTCAAAGAAAATTTTTCACATTGTCATTATGGGGTATTGTGTGTAGAAGTTTAAGGAAATAAATAAATTTAATCCATGTTGGAATTAGGCTGTACCAAGTGAAGAGCTATGAAAACTTTCCGGATGCACTGTAATACAATTTGTGCATTATTTGACATTTGAATTGGGTCTGTTTTCTTGAGGATGGTAATGTGTTTATTAATTATTGAAACATAAAATTGACCTCTGTTTAGTGCCTCTAATGGTGTAGTCAGTAGATAACTATTAATTATTTTATTTACTTCTGTAAACTACTGATAACAATTCTTTAAAATTTTGAATAATTTTTAAAAGATCACGTCACACTGAGTTAATGGCTATAAATTAAAGGGCTCCAAGTTTGGCCTTTAAACAAGATGTACTATAAGTCTTGTGTATCTTGTAATATTTATCAGATCAGTTATTATACCCTTTTGAAAATGTCATTTTTGGGTCAGAAGGAATTGTAGCTGTTTTTGCTTGTGTCTTTAAATGAAAAAGAGCCGGTCTCTCATGATATTTAATTTCAGAGAAGGATAATCAGATCAAATGTCAGGATAAACACAGCAAAATGTGTTTATCAGGCATGATAAAACAGAGACCCACAGCCACAAATACTACAGTAAGACGAATGAGATACATACAAATGCAAAACGTGCTTGCATTTAACATGTTATGCTGTTTTGCTGTTACGCTAGCATGCATATTGGGCTTTGGGCCTGCTTTTAAAAAAAAACTTTAAAAACAGTTAAATGACATATAATACATGCAGTTCAGAAGTGCCAGTGATGCCTTGCGTATAGAGATTTCCAACCAAGTGCAACAGAGAACATAAAGAGAAAAATTGCCAATGGCGAACCTAAAACTTGAGGAAAGACAAACTTCTTGTAAACTTTTCAAATAGTGACAACTTTAAATGAAGAGACAACTGGTTATGCACAATGCACAACTTGTTAAGCAGATCACACATCGAATGCGCCCCTCGGTGCCGCGACACGGCATGCACAAGACAGTTGAAAGTATCGCACACCAGCACATTCGCACGTTATTTAAAATAAAAGTATTCAGATGTCGCTCTGTGGCACAGCAGAAATATAAACAATGTCATAAGTCATGACTGGGTGCCAAAGACAGCCGCCGACTTGCGGTGCTGGTGTGCGTACCTTGATAGAAACCTATGTTTAGAATTCTAAAATGCATGGCGCTACGTGGCGGGAAACATTGAGTTACCGAGCGGCGCATCTGGTGTGTGACCCCCTTAAGTCTAGGGGCACCTGCATGGTTTTATTCCAAGGTACAAATACAGCACCGCCCCGCCCCGAAACAAATCATCCACCCGCACAGTTGAGTAGTGGATGGGTTCAAACAAAAATATCATTTGTATATTTTTCTTGGTAAAAATATCTTTTTAAATCAAATTTTGTATAGTTTGTCTCTTAGTTTTATATATATTGTTGTTGGTCAGTTATCTACTAGATATAATTGAAGAACGAATAACATTTGAGGTGAAGTGCTTCAAAACAAGTCCGCTATATGCTTCAACAATGCTAAGACACGAACTGGGTTGTCAGATAAAATAATAATCTTGCCTAAATAAAATTAAAGTGAAATTTTCACAGTTTCAGAGAAGCCTATTTTAAGCTATTTTCCTGTTGCTACGGTCAATTACAATTTAATTAATTTAATCTAGGAACCCTGATCTAAGGCTAGGGCTTAGATTTAAGGCCTGTGCAGGTCACTAATAGACACGCATTACATGCAAGTTATGGTACAAAATGAACCTCATTTACGCCTTTAAACTGGGACACCTGTTGTGTGATTAGAGCATCCTCGTTCATAGTTGTGTACATTATGCAGCTTTGCTGAATCCAGCGGTTATGAATTACAAAGCTCACAAAGTATTTTTTGATTTAAAAAATAAGTGTAGCACTCACTGGTTTTTCTTGAAGTGCAGTTGGAGATATTTTATAGCGGTGTCAAAATTAATTGTTTATTTGGTGCACCGCAATGCAGACGCAAACAATTCGGAATCGGTTCAGTAATAATCATAACTGATTATTATATACTGAAGTCACTTATTTCATATGTCGCCGTAGCTTACTATTGCGAGGAAGGCGAGCGCGAGTATTTACAATGCTCCAACTACTTAAAAACGCAGAAGCTGTGCACAATTTCACTGCGTGTGTGTTTTCTGGACAGTCTTTCACTGACACTTACAGCAGAAGTCCCTATTTCACTGCAATAGAGAGAATGAAAGTAAACTCCATTTCTCTCCCTCTCTCTCACTGTGGAAATTTGACCTGCTGGCATGACTTTTTCCTGTCCTCTCGGCTGTTACAGCGATCAGCTGTGATAGTAGCTGTAGTTTATCAGTATCACTCAAGTGTGAAGAGCGCCAGCGCGTAAGAGAAATCACAGCCCTTTCTGTTGAGCGTGTGACCAATCAAAGAGGTGTAAGAAAGAACAAGGCTCAGAAAGCGAGCGGGATATTTATATTTGTTTATTTGCCGTAAATGCTTGTGTTGTTTGAAGGGACAGTTTATATATCTGACTGTTTGTATTAAAGGACAAAATTCTATTCCAAATAGTTTATTTAAATATATTAATACATTTTAATACAAAAATTGCTGTTCTGTGAAAAAAAATATAAAACTGTGTCCGGAAAGCATCGTCAATGCACCGTGATGCACCGAGATATCAAATTGAGCCGAATCGATGGCATGATAATTGTAACCGAACCGTGAGACCAGTGTAGGTTCACACCTCTAATATTATTAAATCCCAGTTTCTTTGCAAATCCTTACTTATGGACATGTTTATACATGTTAATGATGAGACATGGTAATACTGGCCTGTCAATCAATATCAGTGGTTGTAGAAAATCACACGGCTACGTCAAGTTGCCAGCTGGGATTTGGATCCTATTGTAATGTCAGGAAATAATAAAAAAAACTTGTGTTTTTATCACTCTAAAATGACTGTGGGCAGAGCATAGCTACACACAGTTCTGTCCAAACAGCTTCTAAATGTTGAAACATGATAGGTGCAGTCTTGCTTAAGCATAAAGAATTCAAATAAAATCTAAATTACAATTATTTTTTGACCATTAGTTGTTTTCTGATTTGAAATGAATGAGCTCTCAGTGCTGACCTGCAGTCATGAGAATACACACATTGTAGTCTCTTACACAGCACAGAATCTTGGCTCAAAGCCGATACTTCCAGCTCTGTGATTGCACTGAATGGATTGTGCACACACACAGAAAAGAGACGAGAAGAACAAGAAAAATGAGGTGAACTTGCCATTTATGTGAATAACAAATGGGGCGACCTGGGAAAACGTTACAGTTATTCACAGGTTAGTGACCCAAAAGCTGAGTTGCTCCCTCTGGGGCTGTGTGATTGTACTACCTG